CATGTCTAGCCGTCTGTGAAGTGCGTGGAGACAATAATTCCCTACTGTCAGTTGAAATCGGCAGCATACTGTCTTGCTGTCAGGCCAAATCTCTGGGATTATGTTATTACAGCTGTAATACCAGAGTACAGTAGCTGCACACGCATGCACGCACGCACATACACACACACACACACACACACACACACACACACACACACTAAATCTACCTCAGGAAAACTGATGCTTTGTGGTTTAAAAACGATTTAATGGACAAAGTGGGGTGATAATAATCATGTCAGTTTTGACAATATGTGGGAGTGTAAATGAACAGCAGTGAAATCCAGACTAACAGCGCTTCCTCTCTAAACTGGAAGCAGCTTTGAATAGCAGATGGAGAATATGTCGGGCTGCTGATAATGTTTTAGTGGTTACACTCGTCTTTAGATGTGTCTTTCATTGGGTTAGGTTTGAGGTCAAAGACATGGAGAGAGGCAGAACAGATGGATTACATGTCAGGATTACAACACAAAGACACTAGCTGCTAAATGTACACCTACAGTATGTGTACTGGGCTGAGATTAAATTACACTAGCAGATTTAAATATGTGAAGTGATTAGTAAAGTACTGACTCAGACATTTAGGCTCACTATGATCATTCGATCATATTAGAATCTGCAGGAGGATTTGGGCTCAAGTTTAAAGACATTTTAAGCACAGAGAGGATGTTAAAATTCAGCGCAGTGGAACGTTCATTACACTGCACAGCAGTGCAGTGACTGGAGGCACAACGTACTGATGATATAGCTACTCTTTTCTGCGACACTCATTGGCCGAGTCACAGTCGTTACGCTATGGCGGGCCGTGCATTTTATTATTTGTTTCTAGGGGTGTAACAATACACGTATTTGTATTAAACCGAACCTCTTCTCACTCCTGTAAAATTTGCCTAAAACGCCTGTCAACCGCGTACCCAAAGTAAACTGACAGCTCTTATTGAACCATTGGGAGTACATGTATGGTTTTAGTCTCTATTGAAAGGTAACACTCTGAAGTTTCTTCACAATCAGAATCACCGTAAGTGCTACTAGCATTGAGCTATGGAGTTTTCAGCAGTGAAAGAGAAGCATGTTATTTCCGCCTAGATTTGTTTTGGCCAACAGATGGCAGCAGCTATCTATAGCTGGGACTTACAGGCCTGAAAAGACAATACTATGTCACCATGGAGTCATGGTACCTGGTTGAAAAGGCAGTCCTAGAACAACATGCAGTCATGACACCTGGTATAAGTTATAATTTGATAACAATACGACAGAAAATTAATATTTTACACACTGCTTACTAAGAGTGCGGCCGTAAAAACACATTTGGAGGCTCGTGTCACCATGTCAAAATGCATATACTACGATAAACTACATGCTCGAAACCCAATCTATAGTTTATTTATGTCGATGTATGGCGAACTATATCATATTTAATCATTGTCAACTTTCACAGATTCTTGAAAATTCTATTGAACCAGACTTTGGTCTTGATAATCTGTCCCAGGTACCTGAGTCACGGTTTCAATTCAGTTTTGAAAACTTTCCCAGAGGGCTATCTGATAAATCTGCATATCCTTGGCTTCGTAATTTCATTGGCTATATGGAGCCTGAGTTTGAACTGGATCTGTTGCGATTGGCTCGAGCTTTACCCAAAGAAGTGAGGTGGGCATTGTCTTTCAAAGCGGACTCTCGTTGGCTGTTCCAGACTGTGGCCGGGCTATAGAAGCTCCTATTGGGTCAAATCAGGTGTCAATCTAACCGGCGGAATGTAGGCGCCATTTTGCGATGAAAATCTCCGCTCTGTTGACATGAAAAGCGAGTTATCATATCTGCTGGCTAATTTGAAATGATGCAACAGCCCCCCGTGGGTCTTTATGGACGTACTAATGTGTTTTGGACTAAATCTTTTACTGGATTTGATCGAGTGGACCCTTAGCCACCTAGCAAGGCCGTTTTTGCTGGACTAGCATGCACGAGGGAGACGTTATGAATCATAATCGGTGAATCACGGAGATATTTTATCCGCTATTTTTGGAGTGCTTGTTTGACAGAGACGTTAACTGTACCTGCTGTTGTTATTGTATCTTGAAATGGTTTGCATAAATCGAATTACAAGAACCGTAGCTTTCTAATGAGATATCACATTAATACTCATCGTTACAGGGCAGTTGTGTGCATAACACAAATATGCAGTTATCACTCTGACGGCCCGCGTGCAGAGAAGGCTTAGCTGGCCCTAACGGCCCACCACTGATCAACGCACAAAGCGGAACAACAGATTTTCCTGCAGCCAAAATTGAATATATTGTAATTTGACCCCAATATGCAGACCGCGGCCACAACAAGCGTCCACTGGGATTCTACATTTCTATTTGACCAACACTTAACCAAAGCAATGTACCAATGTACAATGTGAGCTGCAGCCTTCAACAACACCCGGTTTCAAATACCACCTGACAAAGAGTCTGACCTACTCCAGGGGTACACTCATATCTCACAGGTGCTTTATTTTATCATCCCAATCTTTCTTGACTGTCAATCAAATTGTTCCCAATGACTTTATATCCTTGTTTTCTGTTTTAATTCGGGCTTTTTGAAAATGCAAATATATTGGGGTCCTTGGGGACCTATAAAAGCAATAGGTAGATACGATGTTTGCCATGGATTTTAATTGATCACACACTTTCAGGGGCTTAGGGAAACGCTGTCAGTCATTTTGAAGGAGACAGACCTGTCTCCTGTTTCTCGGAGAGAAGTCAAAGAATACCCTCTGAAAGTTTTCAGTCTCAGCCAGACCTCTGTCCGTCTTTCTCACCCTGACTCTTGGCATTCTGTTGGTGAAATATGACATACACATGTTTTAATAAATGCACACAGTGTGACCGCATTAGCGGCGGGGTGAAAAACCTTCTATTATTACTGTGTTAAGGACATAGGACACAGACAATGAACCCTGATAGTTAAACCTGACTTGCTGTTATACTGAAAAATGGCACTGTACGTGCTGACAGACATATCAGTCCTCCATAAAGTCTGTCTAACATTTTATTGTGTGCTCAGTTATAGTTGACTAATGTATGTAAACGGTGGTTACTTAACCTTCGAAACAAGCCACAACTTAACAGTGCACGCTCGTCATAGGTGTCTCTGGTACTTCAACAAATAGCACTGCACTCCTGACATTCGGCACTTATGGAATGCTGATCAGAAAGGTGACGCTGCTCTCGCTCTACTTTTTAAAGGGCCTTCTGTGAAAATACTCATTGTTGACTTCCTGGGCCTGCTGGTATAAGATTCAACACTGCCAGAATTCAGATTGATCATCTGCACCATATTTTTAAGTCAGGAGAAAATAGATCACTGCAAGGCTACAAATATGATTTTTTAAGGTTTTATTTTTTTACAAACAAAAAAAACACCAAAAATAAAGCCAATATTTGACTTGCCAAATTGTTATTGACTTTTGATTTATATACAAACCAAACAGCACACAACACAATCAGTGTTATTGGACAACAAACAGATGCTGCTGTGTGATATGAAACCCAGAGACATCAAACTGAAGAGTTTCTCTCCAAAATGAGACATCAACCATTGATACAAAATCCACACGCAGATTGATTAAAGGCAAAAGTAATCACAACGGCTTTTAAATAAGTGTAATGAGTTTAAGCGACGCCTACCTCCACATTTCAGACTAACTGAACAATTCAGAAGGAACAGATGTTTCATTCTTAAAACCATTCATCACTTTTCTTTCTAACAAATACACCAAAGATATTTTGGTGTAATGAGTTTTGAATGTGGGTAAAAAAATTAATAAATTCTCAAATCCTAACACTCGCATTACTTTGAATTTTATACCACAATATCCAGTATGTAGACAGTGCCACATTTTTCATTGTAAAGGCCCTGTGCTCCTGCACATTGGATTTAAAAGGAAACATTACCAGCTGTCAAACATTTCTTATCTAAATCTACTTCATTTACATTACATTACAGTCATTTAGCAGACGCTTTTATCCAAAGTGACTTACAATAAGTCTATTCAACATAGGTATTCAAGAGAACTACTTCATAAGCTGTAAGAAAATATAAATAAGGAATCCGACATTAAATATATTCAGATCAGGCTTGTGCAAAATAAAAACGATCTATTTCATGAACCTGAGAAAAACGTGATGTTCTTGATAACAGCGAGCTGCTGCAGGCTGATGGACCGACAGCAGAGAGGGAGAGTGGACTTTTCCCTGCGCCTGAACTGGATGAAGATTGGAGCATTTAGTCCATTCAGGCAAGTCACTGTCAACACTTAGCAGGCTGAAAAAAACACACGCACACACACGCGCACAGGTGACTCAGAGCCATAATGGCTGCAGTCATAGAAAACGTTGTAGCAGACACTGTAAGCGGCCATGTTTGTGTGTGATCAAGCAAAATAAATACAATGGAGTGAATAGTTTGGTTTCTGTGTGCGTGGAGGACAGATATTAGCAGCTCTGTGAAGCTGCACGAAGACACAGCAGTGCTTTAAGATAAACGATAACATATGCTAACATTTGCTTCTTACACAAACTACAGCTGAGGTAAATGCCACCTGTTTTGCAAGTATTTAAAAAAAGTAGTCCGTCAAGCCGATTGCTTGGCCCCCTCAATGACTAGGTGAAGAAGGGTTTGATTATAACGTTAGCATATCACGTTAGCTGTGGATGACATGCTCGACCTGCAGCTGCACAGAGCGCTTTCACTTGTTTGTTTAAAGTTTATTAATATTGAACTAAATTGGAAAGTTTGACACGGCCCTCTCTGCTAGCTTTATCGTTAAATGTTGACCCGATGAGGACGTTAGCTGAAGTTAATACTGAGGAACACATGAATATGTACGGGATTCCATGGCATACCATCCAATAGTTGTTTAAACGTTTCATTTAAAACCACGAACTGACAAAGGCAGGATATGATCAAAGTCACTAGGGTTCATCCTCTGGACACCATGAAAAGCTGAGAACAAATTTCACAGAAATCCATCCAATAGTTAATTGTATTTTAGTAAAAGTTCCAAATTGTAAACTTGCTGGTGGCCTACAAGTCAGAGTATCGCCAAAAGTCAGCAGGATTCATCCTGCGGTGAACATGAATGTCTACAAAATGTAATGATGATCTATCCAGTTGTTGAGATACTGCAGTCTTGACCTAGTGCTGGACCGACCAACTGACATTCCTTGAGCCGCTGGGGAAGGTCCGCGTATGACAAGGCTCTGCAAACACACTTTAAAACTCTCAGGAGGCCTCACAAGTCATCTTAACGCACATCATCATCATCATCATCATCATCATGAAGGATGTAGTGTGACCTGAAATGCTGATCATGAAACCAGGGGCGAATTTCCTCAGAGTGAATCAAAGATGTTCTACATTTTAATTGCTGCAACATATCAATCCTCTTGTTACAGACATGAAGACAAAGTAAAACAAGAAAATATGCCAACTGTCATACGCAGTCTGAATAAAATGATCCAAATGTGAACAGTTTTAATGGTTCAAATACAAATAGACTGGAACCATAGCTGGCAAAATATGAATCCAAAACCAAAGGGACCAAAAGCAATTTAGAAATTTGTTTATGTCGTTTCGTTTCTTTCTCAACCATTGACTCAACAACAACCCAACAGCACTGACAGAGAGAGCTCACACACAAAATATTTGATGAGACAATTTTGGAAAATCAGATTTCCGCACGTGAGAAGGCAAACAAGTCACTCTATAGCAGAGAACCTCATTAGATCAAATGTGTCAAAAAACAACAATAACAACAGATATCGAAATATAAATACAAACAATGAAAATAAAAAGAATCTTTGTGCTGCTGTGACTGATTTTACTCCCAGCGTATATACAATCAAGGCTTACAAAGCTCATAAAGTCGGGGTTAAATCACACACAGACACCGCCGCCTCGTAAAGCAAACACTCCTTCTGGGCGTTCCCTCTTTCATCCATCACTTCGTCTAACCCTCTTCACATGTGCCCGGAAACAGCCATCCTTCTCTTTTAATCCACTTTGTTCACCAACATTAATCTGCATTATACACCCGTCTGTTCACCAGACTCTGTTTTACAAACACTCCTCTCCATCCGCTTGTCCTTCCTCTTCTGCGTTCACTCCATCTTGGACATCTCAAACTTAGTCGTCAAGGTTTCCTGCAACAGAAAACACGACATCATGCTGAATAACTTTTTGGCTACAGTATTTTTCAATGTCTTGTCATTGTTTTGGCATAGAGGGGAGGGGCAAAGAGAGCGTGGTTTACATATAATCTACATAATAAGGAGAGCACGGCCCTCCCGGTTTTGTAATGTCCCTTCAGAAACCTCTGTCTGGCCTCAGGGGTGAATATTTTTATGTTTTCCGAGTCAGGCTGAAAATGAGCTGGGTTACTGTCTTCTTCCCCTCCGCTCTCCCTCCATCTTTCATCAGTTGCAGACTGTTTCATGGACTCAGTGTTTCAGACTCTCAATCACCCTATCCTTCATCCTTCTCCATACACCATTCGACACGAAGAAGCCAATTTGTCCAGTTTTAAGAAGAAGTCTGGTCCGTCAGACAGTTAGCTGTGCTTCTTCGTTTCAAAACAAATTCATCATTTTTGGCAGATAGGTGGAGAGATGTGTCAGCTGGTTACAAAAGCCAAATCCTTCTTTATACATTTCAAGGAGCGCTCTCATTTGTTCCCTAAAAATTGAAAGAACCAAGTGTGTCATTTGTGGTTATTTACTTAAATCAGAGTCTCCGTATTGGCTAAACACATGTGCAAGATGAATGATGATAAGGAGTGTGTGTGAATGCATCTAAAGTTGAAAGAATCGGATTCTTGAAGGAATAAAAACCAAACCTGTGCTGTGATGCTAGCGAGGCTATCAAAGGAGCATCTGGGCATGGAGGCGGTGGCAGGGTAAAGCCTATTCTCTTTCATTTCCTCCATAATTGTGATGAATTACATAATTTGTTATTATAGGGATAATGTGCAGGTTAGAGTCAGATTTATCTCTTGAATAACAAGAGCGCATTATATAATCTGCCATGAGGACATGAGTAGTAGGGAGTTACGGCAATTGTTTCCCCTTAATTTCATCATCTAATAAGGGAGATTCATGACATTGTTAGTGTTCACTCACGTTTCAAACACCCTGCAGTTAAAAACTAAAAATCTTTGAAATGACAGCAAAAAAAAGTGCTACAACCTTCAATTACAACTACAGAGAAAAGATCTTAAGGAAGCGACATTTTAATCCAAGTCCAGAACCTTCCTCCCTTCTCTGCTCTGTCCCTCTGGACTCTGTCCCTTCCCTTCTCCATTCCTTACAACAGAAGCGCCATAAAGGAAGTACTTCATACGCTCTATGGATTTTAATATCTCTCAGTGTTAATACAGCAGCTTACATAACAAGTTGATTCCACATAAGAGGCACTTTGTTGATTGCTCGATCATTTAAAAAAAAAAAGAAAAAGAAAAAGGTTCAGTTTAGAGATGAAAGAGTGAATAATTTGGAAAATGGTACGAAAAACAGTCAACAGAGGAGAAACAAGATAAGAAAGATATTAAATATATCAAAGAGTTTGGGACTGAGGATTTATGTTTCATATCCGATAAAGAGATGTTTTCTTATATTTTCTGTATTTTTGTTTTCAAGATTATCAGTAATGGCTGCAGCAGCACTAACATGTCAAACGCACGAGGTTGATGCCGCCACATTGTTCTGCTCGCCATGACCACAGAGAAGAGGATAAACACTGACATAACCGTGGCAACAGCTGCTCACTGCCTTGATTGTTTGCCCCCCCCCTGCTGCTCACAGAACAGAACTACAACTAGTATAAACAATTGTTTGTGTGCCTCTGCTGCAGACTGGCTTGTTTTCAAAAAAATGTAAAATGTCAGTAAAACAAAAATTATTACAAATTCTTTGTAGAAAAAATGTGTTTGCAAAGTATTTGTGACACAAATTAGCTTTTATATATTGATATTTTACAAATAGCATGATTTTCTCTTCCTCTGTAGTGTTTACATCCAGTACTTTGGATTGTATTTTTGAAGGAGCCAAAGAAGTTTTCTTGTAGTTTAGAGGATATTAATATACCTGAACAATAACTGAAAAAAGGCCCAAGTGCATAAAAACAAGCGTCTGTCTTTGTTAAAGTTAGTCTTGCTTTTACTCGTTTTCAATCATTATTATTTTCAGATTAAAGAGATTCTTAAAGGTATCTTGGTAAAATTGGCAACAATTAATACTTGATATAGTGTTTCCAACTCATTTTCATGTGTGTGTAGATGTGACTGGCAGTAAATGGGAAATATGAGACCGACCACCCGGTTACGAGTCATATCAAACAACTGAAAGTGAAATACTTATGATCTGATTGTCTGTGTGTGGTTACATCTTAGTTTAGTAATGAAATGAGAAATGCAGACGACTTGCCTCATCAGAGTCCAGCAGGGGGGGCAGGGCGCTGTGAGCCAGAAGGAAAAGCATAAGATTTGATGAATTTAAATTTATGATCTTTTCTGGTATGTTATAATCAGTGTCAACATGCTGACTTCATGCTGGTGATGACTTACACATCTGCCATAGATGAAGGGATGTTCTCTTCGACCCATTTCAGATCCTCATCCTGGAAAAACAACAAAGTCAGCTGATGTGTACATTTCCTCCTTCAAGAATTTAGACTAGAGAACCTTTGACTGACCGAGGTCGGTCAAACTCATGTTCCACATGATCGAGTTACTGAAATTACCTGAAAGGTCACTTTGGTCCTTTGTTTAACTGTTTAAAAGCCACTGCTGAATAACTGAGCTGTACCTGCGATAGTGAAATTGTATTATAGGTGATCTTTTTATCCTCAGAGACTACCTAGAACCCAGTTATTGAAGCAAAGCTCAAATTATACTTCTAACATCTGCGTGGCTGTGAAGGTCGGCATGACGCAAATTTCATCATCCGTCCGTGCGAACAATCCGCGTGCAGCCCAGAATTTGTGGTCAAATAGGCTGTAAGCACCGATAAACATGTGTGAACATGAGTCAGTATATAGTGGTGCTAGAAACAAAACCACATGGACGTCTGCAGTATATTTTTGGGAATATAACCGCCCCTTAACAGTGTCACAACCCAATGAGCCCCTTATGGCAGTATCGCTACTCACACATCTACTGCACTCAAAGCTGGAGTGAAATAATCAAATCTGAGGGAAATCTGAAGTAAAACTGGAACTACTGCTGACAAATTCCATACGTCAAATTAGTTTGGGATGAAGAAATAAAACAATAAAATGATTGCTGGCGAGCAATAATGGTTTTAATTTGTTAAAAATGGCAGCTGTTGTTGATCGTCACTTACCACCTTGTTGGCTTTGGCTGCGCCGTTGGTCTCATTTTTCATGCCCCTCATTTTCACCCCCTCTGGAGATACACAGGAGTATAAAACAAAGACATGAACTCACATACAGAACTTTCCATGATGCATATTTCACTGAAAGCTGATCACATACTGATGATGGTTCTACTACGTTAGGTTTCATTTTAAATTAAAAAGATTATTTAACAACTGGCTGAAAGGCATCTGTTGAAAATAAGGCATCTGGGACATTTACAGTGATGTTATGCACTGTGTCTCCCACTAACTAACCAACGAACTAACTGAGAAATAAACTAAACAAATAACTAAATAGATAGGAAGGTACTGAGGATGGTAGAGAGCTGAGACAGAAATATCACAGGAAGGGAAGAGAGGAGCCAACAGGTGAGGAAGGAAAGAAGGGAGTAAAGGAGGAAGGCTTCTGACCGAAAGCCTCGTTCATCATGGGCTCCTTCTCCTCTTCCTCACTCTCTTCATCAAACAGAGGACTGAAGGCATACCTGACAAACACACAGGGAGAAAGAAACTGACTTTACTTTGCAGTTGGAACGAGAAAAAGTGTGAATAAAACAGCCCTGCCATCCCCCCTTACCTCTGGTTATTGGCTGACGGTCTCCACAGGAACATGATGACCAATAGGATGATGGAGAACAAGAAGCGCCAGAACGCGTCATCGATCCACAGCTCCCTCCAGTCCTGCAGAGAGGGAAAGGAATAGATTTTTTTTTAATCAAAACACTTAAAAATAAATCTTCATTTACATTCTGAGAATAAATCCAAATTGGACTTTAAAAAAAATTATATTAGAAAAGTGTTGTGACATTACTGAACTGTGTATTGATGGTGAAATATATGAAGGGTGACATAATAAAGTTTAAAAAAAAGTTCATAACTTGACTTTCATAAAGAACTGCAACTGAACTATAGTTGTATCAACCCTGTAACCTAGAATATGTAGTTTAGAAACTGTTAATTGTCAGCAGCAAATGTGTTTTGGGAGAGATGTAATGCTTCCGTTATGTTTTTTATCAGCATTTTTATGTTTGTAATGAACCATTAACACAGTGGCAAAATATTCAATCAGTTTCCTACAATATTTGCTTGTTGCATCTGAAGCATGATAAATGTTTTATGGTACAAGGTCAGGACTTTACAATTAATCATCTCTTCATTTAGGCAGTACATGTTTGTCCTTTAAATAGAGTTAAATAAAAAAAACAACAACACAGGCAACAACACCACATCAAACTGAGTAACACAGATTATACTAAATCCTGCTGATGTACTCACAGACTGACATTTAGATATTTTGAAGGTCTTGGTGCTCCAAATGATGAAGATGACCGACGCTGGAAAACACAAATACAAGCTTTGAAGGCGTGAAATGTGTTTCAGCAAACATTGAAGACTGACTGAGTATTGTTTGTACCTATGACAGCGAAGATGAGCGTGTTGGTGAAGTGTCTGTAGAGAGAGAGCTTCACAACGTTCCTCCTCAGCTTCAGCAGCTTCATCGTCTGAGCCAGACTCACAAAGATGTGACGACAGTCAAGGAACATCGACGACAGTAAACACTACCAGCTAGATTTGGGTTTTCATCTCCAATTTAAGATCACTGTATCTGTATCTTAATGAAAAATGATTGTTCAATGAAGTCAAAACTAAAAGGTTTAACCCTTGAATTTAAGGTGAGATGTTTACCATCCCACCTCCTGTGGTTGGTAAGGTTTGCATTTGCATGAGGGACAAGACAGCGTAGGTCCAAGAGTTTTTAAAGTTTCACATGCTGCACATTGTCTACATTCTAAGATATTCTAGTGTGAATATGGGCACTTGAAAATACAACCAAAGCTATATTAAAATAGTTCAATACTTTGGTTAATTGCATGATATTTGCATTGAGAGAGTTTTTGCTGGACACAAAAAAATATACGCAGAGACAAACAAAGCAGAAAAATAGGGAAAATGAAAAAAAAGAGAGAGAGAGAGAGAATTTCAGTTTTACTAAAAATGGGAAGATTTAGTCGCAGATATCCACCAGCAAAGGGTAGAGTCGAGCACAGCCAGAGGAATAGCAGCCAGGAGAACTACATCACCTTCAGCCTACAGGGAGAGAAAAAGAATGAAAGAAGAGGAAAAGGTCAACATAATAGTAGGAAAGAAGAAGGGGAGAGTACGGAGAGCAAGAAAGCAGAATGTAGAATGAAAAAAGGGTGGATGATTATTTAGAGGACGAGGAGGAAGATGCAGAAGTGTGGAGAGGCAAACAGAGGAAGTAGAATGGAAAGAGATGGTTGAAAAAGAGAACAACAGAAATGCAGACACAGTACCACACTCAATAGGCAGCTACAGTTAATTCTGTTTGGTTCAAATGGGTGTACTAGGTGGGTGGGGTTTACCATAGTACAGTCTGGTGTGGTGGTACCCACCCTACGAAAAAAAAAAAAAAAAAAAAAACTCAAAATACAAACAGAACGTCTTGGAGTCAAACCTGCAGAGCAACAAACGAGAATAAATGAACCTGAATCCAGACAAAAATGCTGTGTCTCCATACACCTGTACTGAGTGCATAAATGCATTCACACCGACAAGTATGGCAAAATGCAGTGATCTGTGAGTACCCAGATGGTGTACTAACAATAGATGGTTACCCACCATAACATGTGGAAACTCTTGTGAGACTCGCTGCCTGATGACATATCCCAGCTTCAACCATTCGAAGTCCATACCAGGTCAATGCCTAACCTCAACCATACCAGGTCAATGGCTAATCTCAACCATACCAGGTCAATGCCTAACCTCAACCATGCCAGGTCAGTGGCTAATCTCAACCATACCGGGTCAGTGACTAACCTCAACCATACCGGGTCAATGACTAACCTCAACCATACCAGGTCAATGACTAACCTCAACCATACCAGGTCAGTGGCTAATCTCAACCATACCAGGTCAATGCCTAACCTCAACCATACCGGGTCAATGACTAACCTCAACCATACCGGGTCAATGCCTAACCTCAACCATACCGGGTCAATGCCTAACCTCAACCATACCAGGTCAATGCCTAACCTCAACCATACCAGGTCAATGCCTAACCTCAACCATACCAGGTCAATGTCTAACCTCAACCATACCAGGTCAATGCCTAACCTCAACCATACCGGGTCAATGCCTAACCTCAACCATACCGGGTCAATGCCTAACCTCAACCATACCGGGTCAATGCCTAACCTCAACCATACCAGGTCAATGACTAACCTCAACCATACCAGGTCAATGCCTAACCTCAACCATACCAGGTCAATGCCTAACCTCAACCATATCAGGTCAATGCCTAACCTCAACCATACCAGGTCAATGACTAACCTCAACCATACCAGGTCAATGACTAACCAAAAAATAAAAGTACACCGCCGTGTAGAACACTAAGTACACTAACGGAATTCTCCAAATGAAATTGAGAAACAGTAAAAGACAGACAGACGACAGAGGAGGCTTTCATATTTTATCACCCTCTAGTCAGTGGCAGCTGGTACAAAATCAGCAGCTGGTTGGCATATTAAATAGTGGTGGATCTTCATTAAAAAAACTCCTTCAGTCAAACTGTTACTGTGAGACCAAAGCTAAAGCTAGTGTAAAGACATACATCTGTGAAAAATCACTATAAAGCATCAAAGTGACAGGTATGAGTCAGTTATTTCTGGTTCTTTATTGTAACATGGACTTGGTTATTAAAGTGTAGAGATTGCTCAAAAGTGTGAGGTTTGGCAGAGTAGTGCTGTATTCTTATCGCGCTGCATTTATAGGCATTTTTCACTGACTTTCTCTCTCTCTCATAAGTGTGCCCTTTTTCTTTCCTTGATCTTAACAGAGTTTTCTATGATCTTGGTAGTTGTGGCTGCTTTTAACTCTGGTTAAAGTTGTTAATAGCCGTTCGATTAAATCATCATTTATTGCAAATCATTTAGTGGTGGACGTCATTATAAAACAGTAACTTTCTCACAGCACCAGTATCTTCCTTCCGTTGCCTAACTGTTCCTTTTTTGCTGTAATATTTGAGGGCAATATGTATTGCACAAACTTTGTGCACAGAATTTGCACGTCCTACACTGCAGGAAGACTAGATGGTACGACTGCCATCAGACAATGGGGATCATTTAAATAAATACATATACTTGCACGCTTAAAATGATAGACAGTGAATATAGACCTGTATTTGAAAAATAATATGTGATTTAGTGTAAGTTATGTGCGATAAAAGAACCTGGAAACTCAACATGTTTGCACATGTAAAAGGATATCCACCAGACAACACAGGAGTCAGTGAAGGCCAGCACTATGTCACACAAAAGTCTACTCCTGGATTGGTCGCCTCGATCCTAGAGAGAGAAAAAAGTTAAGACACACGCGCGCACACACACACACACACACGCACGCACAAACGCGTACACACACGACTTACAGCGTTGACTCGTAGGATCCCCTCAATGACGGAAAAGATCAAGTAGAGCAGACCAACTCCGACTACTCTGTGGAGCAACGCACCGAGTCTGGGCCTGGTGGACAGACAGAAAAGAGTGTTATGGATCAGTCGCACCAAAACAACTGGTCATAGGCATTTCACAGAATTTGTTTTACATTTTATAGACTAAAGGATTATCTGAAAATAATCATTAGATGTAGTATAGCACAAATTTCAGTCCTTGTCTCAATTGAAATTAAAGGTAACAAAAGGATAAGAGACAAAAGTGGAAATATATTTAAAAAATATTTAAATTAATTTCTTCATACAAGAAATACAAGAAAACCTCATGATGTCAAAACTACAAAGAGAGCTGTGAGAAGGAAAAGACTTACTTAACGATGCCGTATCCCAGACTGGCGATGATCACCAACACCCTGGCCAGAGTCCTCTTTACCGCAGAGAGCACCTCAGCAAACACCACCGCCCCCTGGACTGCAGGAGGACACATTACAACGTGTTATTTCTCAACGCTCCGCTGTGTCAAACGTTCACCCCTAGATCAGTCCAGAGAAAGCACCTCCGTGTCTTCACCTACCTGACAAGCCGTCGTATCTGATGCTCTGGAACTCGCCGTAGTAGACGGCTTTCTCCAACATGCCCAGGAAGATGACTCCTCCGATCCAGAACTGGATCCTGAGCAGATCCCTCCAGTAGCACGCCAACAGAGCCAACCACAACACCGCCAGCAGCACGTACACGATACACATGACCATGTAGAACTGGAGACACAATTTCAGAGAGAGACAATATTGACTTTGGGAAAAAGGAAAGAAGACATTTGTCAAATATAACAGATTCTTAAAAGGATAAGTTGGATATTTTGAAGTTGGGGGCTGTATGAGGTACTTATCCATAGTTTGGGTATTACCCTCAATAGGTGGCAGTCGGCACACCCCCCGTTTGAAACAACAGACAGGATAAAAGCAACGTACTACTCTCAACAGGGGGGGGCAGCAGCAGCAAAATGTAGTTTAGACACCTAAAAAAAAACACCAAGTGTACACTACATTCAAAATATAGCGTACACTAAACTTGTAGCGTACACTTGATTTTTCTATATATAAAACATAGCGTCAAAACTTCTGTTGTGAAGTTTGCATATGACATTTGTTTTCGCCAGGATTACAAACAACAATGAGACTTCATATAGAGAAGAAATCAACAATCCTGCAGAGTGGTGCTCAGAGAAACAACCTACTGCTCAACGTCAGAAAAACCAAGGAGCTGATTGTTGGTTTTAGACAAAAGGAGGCAAAGAGACACACCCCTGTCTACATCAAAGGTGCTGAGGTGGAGCAAGTTAAGTTAAGCAGCTGTAAGTTCCTGGTAATCAACATCACAAACAACCTGACATGGTCATCGCACATCTCCATCCGGGTGAAGAAAGCTATTTAACGGCTTTTATTTCGTAAGGAAACTTAAGAAGGCAAAATCCTGTGCCAAGTACTTGTTCACTTTTATAGAGGAGCAAAAAGAAAGCACCCTGAGGGGGAACATTACAAACTGGCATGGGATGTGCAGTGTCCAGGACAGGAGGGCAGCAGGGGATTAAAACTGCCCATCGAACAAGCATCAGTGATATTGGTGACAAGAGGTGCCTGCAAAGACTCTTGCCAAAAGGATTTTAAAAGACAATACCGACCCCCAGCTAAAGCCTTCTCACCCTGCTGCCGCCTGGTAAAAGATACACAAGTATCGGCTCCTATCGCACCAGACTTCAGAGCAGCTTTTGTCTCTGGCTGTGAGACTTCTTACTACTTTTTTTTTTGTGTGTTTTTCTGATGTAGCTAAATGGTACAACAAACAAATGTTGTTGTAGAATGACAATAAATAACCATGTAACCTTGACTATGGATAAGTACCTCGACTTCCAAACTATAGCTTTCAGTGCTCTTTAAATGAATGTTTCAGTTTGAATTACTTGAACTTTGACCTACTCATGGCGGCGCCCTGCTTGACAGCGGCTGCACTGGCTCCCGACAGTAGTGAGAAATCGGTAAGAAATACCTCGTCTTTATCCTTCATTTAATCCCGTGTGCCCTGATTGATTAAACACTGCGTCTGACTCTTCCTTTGGTTAGATGCTCTTTTAAAGGATAAATCTGGTGATATTCTATATTTCCCATGATCTATTGATCCAATTGTTTACAGAGAATAGGAAAGAAGACAGACTAACCCATGTTTGATTGCTGTTCCTAAAGTGTTATTTTGTCTTGCGTATGTGTGTCCTCTTACCACCATCATAGGCCACTCAGCGGCTGATATGTAGTCATGAGGACCCCTCATGCTGATCTGCACTGCAAACACAAAGAGACGCTATCAGATCAACTGGTTCTCTACATTCAAACTCCAGACTTGGAGACACACCTGAGAGGAACACAGCAGTTAGTCATGCCACAACATTATCAATCACTTTGGGACATTCAGAGCTGATTCGCAAGGGTCGGTAATATAAATCCATTGTGTTTGTTTGCTCTAGGTAATGTTTCAATACTGCCGTGATGTGCAACCTTGAAACACTTGATCCACGTAGTGTTGTAAGCAAGAGCATCAGGAACAAAGTGCACAAACATCCTCAGCAGTAGTTAGCGGAATGAACTTAAAAAGAAAGAACTCACTCTTCAAGCATTTGAACAGGTAGTACATTACACTGTATTGGTAGGTGTGTGTGTGTGTGTGTGTGTGTGCGCGTGTGTGTGTGACTGACATTGTAGAGTCCAGGGTGTGGGAGGGTTAGCGGGGTCAGAGGCTCTGCTCTTGTCTTTGATCTCTTTGATACTCAGGATGAACATGTAAGGTCCGTCCTCCCAGCTCTCAGCCACCACATCGAATTGAGAAGAAGCAGCCATCTGAGCAACAAAGACAGTCAGTCAGTCAGTCAGTCAATCACGTTATTTGTCCCCAGTGGGGCAATTGGTTATGCAGCACATGCATACATTTAGAGCACATTATTACAACACTTAGACCAAAAACAACCACCCAATAAATACACAGTAGAAATACTCAGAGATGGCAGAGGGTACAAAGGAGTGTTTGAATGTATTGATTGTAACGAGTGGGAGTCTGAGGAGGGTTCCAGATGGCAGAAACGGTTGATGGGGATTAGGAACAATCAGACAGGATGGATTCTGTTTTCATATAGAACCGTTTGTTGTAAAAAAAAAAAGCAGTTTCCTGTGCAGTGCCGGTGTTGCTGACCATTGAGTACATTTTTGTGTTTAGCGTTGAGAGATTGTTTACAAGCAGATAAAAAGAGAAAGTGACTCATTCAAAGGTTGATGAAAATTGATGCCAGGTTTCTGTCAACTTGGAACTTAAGCCCCTTTTTCCCCAGGAACTGGGAACCTTTTGAGGAATGTAAATTAGCTTCCGGGAAACACCCTGGTCAGGGGTAGTACTCTCTCAAATTATGGGAACTTTCAGAGCGTGGTTTGTAGGGATGACCATAGCTGATTGCTCAAACACACACAGCATGTAGCGCTTCATAGAAACATAGAAGTAGTCCAGGATCTACTTAGGACCATTTTAAGACGAGGGGAGAGCATTTCTCTTTGTTTGATAGAAACAAAAGTAAAGTTGAGCTTTGCTGTCGGCTTTCCGACTCATTTAAAAAAGGGCGAGAGAAAAAGAGAGAGAGATATTGCGAGCGAGCTGAGAGGGCGGGCAGAGAGAGACAACACGGCGGTGAATGAGAGGAAGGAACCTTTTAGTTGCTTAAATGTTGATGTTCATTTAATAAATAATGGTCCAGTTAGAGTCAAATAGACCATAAAGCAGGGGATGATTTAGGGCGGGCTTACTGTGATTGGCTACAAACCAACATGTGACGTCATGATGACTACATCCACTTCTTACACACAGTCTACGGAAAAATGTCAGCTGACATGAGATTGCCGACTAGGCGTCACGGCTCTGTAACACACTACGTATATACACCCTGGGATTAAAAGCAGGACCCTCCCAAAGTCACGAGCGTCTCTCTCTGTCTGCTGTAACGAGCAAGTTTAGCGGACCCTACTGAACAGACCTGACTGACCCCTTTAGGAGGGACGGCAGCTTTTTCCTTTTTGGCTGAATCACCCTCCTTCTGTGCTGCAGCAGCCTGAGAGACAGAGAGCAACACAATCAGTGAGTCAAACATTTAACAATTAGACATCTAAAGCAATAATTCATCTCCAATATCTATTTATGTTGTGAAAACATCTCCTTCAAACAACTGGATTTATTCAAGTTTCTCACCAACACTACATTTTACAGATCACATGTGAACACATCATGATAACGTTATAATTTACCATTGCCCAATACTCATTTTTACTGAACAGACCTGACTGACCCCTTTAGGAGGGACGGCAGCTTTTTCCTTTTTGGCTGAATCACCCTCCTTCTGTGCTGCAGCAGCCTGAGAGACAGAGAGCAACACAATCAGTGAGTCAAACATTTAACAATTAGACATCCAAAGCAATAATTCATCTCCAATATCTATTTATGTTGTGAAAACATCTCCTTCAAACAACTGGATTTATTCAAGTTTCTCACCAACACTACATTTTACAGATCACATGTGAACACATCATGATAACGTTATAATTTACCTTCACTCAATACTCATTTTCACTGAACAGAGCCTGAACGCATCATAATGTAACTGAACAGAACCTTCATTCTCCTCCGTCAGTTCAAACACTGACTGGTTGTTTACAATGTAACATGATCAAAGATCAGAGGCTAGAGAAACATACATGACGTCCTGATCTCATATTTCACTGAGTATTGGTGGATAAAGATGTCAGTAAAACTTTATTTCACTCTGTGATTTAACGTTGAACTGTGTCATTAATCAGCGGTTCACATGTGTGGTGAACCGTTAAGGGGGATCCGTACGGATCACGGATCGACAGAGGTCCGTTACACCACTAGTTCTAGTAAATGTTAGCTATTGTATCGTGTGTTCTACTGGACCCATAAGGGCTTCATGGTGCAGCTTCTCTTCTAACTATGCTCTCCTGAACCATGTGTCCTCTTTCTTTCTCCTGCTCTGCTCTGCTCTTTATTCCACAGAAAGGTTGAATAAATCTGTAAATAATGTTCCACTGGAGCTTCGAATGTTCTGTGTTCTTCATTTTAACAGGACGTTCTACAGTCTTTACCGCAGGTTTCATTGGAGGTACCCGCGTCATGTTCTACTACACTGCAGTTATTTTTGTCTCTGCCTGTTCTGCAGGACGAGTTTGTTGGATGTGCACACCTTTGGCTTTGCAGGTTTTGAAGGAGCATCACTCCGTCTCCTCCGACCTGAAGTCTTCTCTGTGACCGGCTGATAAACACACGGAAAAAAAGAAAAGTATTTGAAACAGTTAATGATAATAAACAAAAGGATTCTTAAAGATGAATGCAACATGTTCATTTTCTTAAAGGATCTTATTTTCCTCTACTAAATGTTGTTGAGGTTTCTGTTAGTTACTTTGTTTACTTATGATTTAGAAGAAATATAGGCTGCATGATTTAAGGGTTATTTTGGTATTTTATAAACCTGGACTATGTTTCTATGTCTAAGTGACAACATTATTTAAATGGGTCCAGGTTTTAGGGAGAACACTACGGACGTCAGACGCGGCAATGTAATCGCACGATGCAACTCCTCACCTTCAATGCACGTCCACTAAAAGTGCTCGCTTTTGCCACAGACCGGCTCAGATTGTTATTAGAAGTGTGCGACGACATTATGGAAAAGACTCTCTCGTGCATTCTAACGCTTTACCTTTCGCTTGATGCGGTCAGTTTGTTATTGTGGGTCTCGCTCAAGTCTCCTTCTAAATTCTTGCCTCGCATCAACATTGTCAAAATCAGCGAAATATTCAGCTCAGACATTGAAAATGTGTAGATGACTCTGACAACTAGGCCCGTCGTGATAACTACGTTGTAGACTTATCGTACACGCACATGACCATTTCTGCTGAACATATCGCCCGTTAGTGATGGCGAGATGAAGCTTCATGACGCATTGACGCTTTCCATCCAATTGGTTCACTCGTGGGCCGAAGCTTCATCTGCTCTACTGCGCCATCAATTGGACAATAAATGTGAAACGGGCAGAGTGATTATAATGACACCATGGCTTTGGTGTGTGAAGCATTGAATTGAATGAATGAATGAATGATGTTTGTGATGCTCGAACAAATTGCAAACAAACGCGCAATAAAGTCCCAAGTCCACCCAATGTGAGGGGGATCCATTGTGTTTCGCTGCCCCGTATATTTAGAAGTATTTACAGTATTTATGAAGGAGGCCTGCATTAAAGCTACACAGCCGCTGACGGCAGCAGCAACATGAACTGGGACTGTTCAACCTTGGCAGCCATTTGATTCTTCTTTTTGTTTTTGAGCAGCTCTGGTTGGGACAGACGGGCAGAGAGACAGAAGCAGGACGTGTCTCACCTGTTGATGTGTCACTTCTGTCAACCGTGTTTTCATCTCAAGCACATCCAGGACGAACTGTGTCATAAAACAAACGCACCACATACACTCACTCATTGCTTATTTGTTTGCACTGTGAGTCAATTTATATACACTGTGTGTGTGTGTGTGTGTGTGTGTGTGTATCACCGTGTTGGGGTTCATGTGTGGCTGGCAGGTGATGGCAGGATATTGGTGAAAAACATAATATCCACTTCCTCCTCCTTGTTTGACCTCTGTCGAGTTGAAGTAATTTCCTGCGAGCGCCGTCTGGAGACGGACAAACAATGAGACGCATGACAAAGAGACAGCAGCTGCTGCAGGGACAACACACCGCTGCTATGGGACACAGCAAGCGGACTAGGTTTTTTAGCAAAAGCAATGGAAAAATGTATGAATATAAAGCATTTTTAAAGAATATTTTGTATCAATGATTGATTTCAGTAGTGTTATAAGCAGGGTATTGATGCAGTAAGGACCATTATGCCTCAGGTAGAAGATGTCCGATCATTAATGAGTAAATAAATAACACGGATTTAAATAGTCATCATAGGAATTCACAATTTGTTATTCCAGTATTAAGTGTTTAAATGTACACCTGTGTGGTTACAGACCTAAAGTCAGAGCAAACCAGAGCTACAAATGTGGACCTGAGAGGTCGGGTTGAGGTTCTGAACGGGTCAAGAGAAGAACAGAGCAGAGAACTGTGGAGGGTCTCACGTCCAGGCTGAAGACTTCATCGTAGCAGTGCGAGTTCCTCAGATACCACAACACGTTCAGCTGGACAGGTGTCGACGAGTTGCAGGTCTCTGACACCACTGACCACACAGGGGGAAAGAAACAAAAGAAATCACGTTAAAGGAACAGTCTGCGTCTTTGGTTTGCCATTTAAAGCCAATTCCCACTATAAGGCATTCACAGTGGTCCGATCGCTGTACTGGTCACACTACACAACATGATGTCTTGGAACTGGGAGTTTTGAGGTGACATCGAGATCTTCACCCGGTCCGGTCTGCACAAAAACACGTGCAAGACGTTACGCAGCAAATGACGTGATACATGTGGGACCGGGTTTCTTAGATCAACAATCCGCAGAACTTTCCTTGTATTCACGTTGTCGATGTTGTCGTTAACACACATTTCTTTAGCTTCTTTAGCTTATGGTTTCCTTTAGGTCTTTGTCTACTTACGTTTGAGATGGATGGAGCTGCTGTTGAACAGAGTTTTAGTGAAGAAGAAGAGGTTCTGTTTCTTCAGAGTTTCCTGGAACAAACCAACACAAACACCTGATCAGACTTCAGCTGTAAAGATGACCCGTGTGTCTTATCGTGCTTAACATACATTATGACCTCACACATCCTGTCAACATACAACATCAAGAAGACAGAAATGTTCTGGAATTGAGCTGCTGTCGTTTTGTGTCTTTTCTGTCCGTACCTTGAACTAAATAAGTATTATCTACCACTATACACTATACTACTGATGGAAGCTGTAGAAGTACCTGATCTTCTCCTTGTGTTTACATGAGCAGAGTTGGTTTAACAGCAGCAGTGCTTCCCTCGTTGAATCTCAGTCAACTGGCAGATTTATTGTCGCTTATTGACCTTACACGTGAATGTGCCTCTGAAGACAAACACAGCGGTTGAAAGAAGAGCCGAGCTTCCTGTTAAACTGTGAGAACGAGGAACTTCTCACGTTTACTAAAACCACTAAAACCAGAAGAAGAAGATGGAGGGAATATGACTGTTGTGTTCCTCCCGCTGATTTAACGGTTAATTAATTTTGACTTTTCAGACCATAAATAATCTGCTGACTCAAATTGTGTTGAAGAGTTTCAGGCCGTGATGTTATTCCAGACATACTTTTAAGAAGATCAATCATTTTGTCCTCAAAACATTTTCTTTTGTCTGTCATGATTTGGTGGAAAAACACGTAACAGCTTCAAAATATGTAGCTTCAAAATAACAAATGGATTTTAAAGAGAGTGGTCCTCCCCATGTATAAAATAATCACGAACTAATAGATTCTCATAAATCAGCTGATATCATGACACACATTCAGTGGTGGCAGAAATACTCTGGTACTTTAGTAAAAGCAGTAATACCACCGTGTATAAATACTCTGCTACAAGTAAAAATCCATCCATCCATCCATTTTCCTCCGCTTATCCGGGGTCGGGTCGCGGTGGCAGCAGGTCAAGCAGGCCGACCCAGACCTCCCTCTCACCGGCAACATGTTCCAGCTCATTCTGGGGGATCCCGAGGCGTTCCCAGGCCAGCTGGGAGATGTAATCTCTCCAGCGTGTTCTGGGTCTTCCCCGGGGTCTCTTCCCAGTTGGACGTGCCTGGAAAACCTCCAGTGGGAGGCGTCCAGGAGGCATCCTAATTAGATGCCCGAACCACCTCAGCTATCTCCTTTCGACGCGAAGGAGTAGCGGCTCGACTCCAAGCTCCCTCCTGATGACCGAGCTCCTTACCCTATCTCTAAGGCTGAGCCCGGCCACCCTACGGAGGAAGCTCATTTCGGCCGCTTGTAGCCGCGACCTTGTCCTTTCGGTCACGACCCAGAGTTCGTGACCATAGGTGAGGGTAGGAACGTAGACCGAGTGGTAAATTGAGAGCTTTGCCTTCCGGCTCAGCTCCCTCTTCACCAAGACGGTCCGGTGCAGCGCCTGCTTTACTACTGCAGCTGCACCGATCCGTCTGTCGATCTCCCGCTCCATCTTACCCTCACTCGTGAACAAGACCCCGAGATACTTGAACTCCTTCGCTCAGTAAAAATCCTGCATTTATATTTTTACTGAAGGAAAAGTAAATTAAAGAAAATATTAATGTTGCTGCACTTGAATTTTCCCCTGACTAACAATAACACTCATTTGATGATTATATTCTGTATTCATAATCTGAATCTGAAAAGTAACTAATGTTATAAAAAAATGGTTATGTGTGGAATAAAAAGTACAATATTTTCCTCTGAATTGTTGTGGAGTAGAAGTATACAGATGCATAAAATGGAAATACTCACCTTAACACCACCTTAACCACAGTAACACCACAGTAACACCACCTTAACACCACAGTAACACCACCTGAACCACCTTAACACCACAGTAACACCACAGTAACACCACCTGACCTTAACACCACAGTAACACTACATTAACACCACCTTTAACTTCCTCTCCAACCTGTTTAACATATTAAACTACCCGCTAAAACCTCTCTCTTTTTACATCCACGGCTAAAACACCCCGACACTGACAACATCACAACCAGGAAACTCACGCTGTCGATGTTCAGGATCCATTTTCCCGGTTCGGACACGGAACCGACCGTCCCGATCAGCACCAGCACCAGCAGCAGCGCCAAAGACCAGAGTCCCAGTCCGGTCCTACCCAGACCCGCGGAGCTCGCCATTTGTGACCCACGAAGAAACAAACAAACAACAGAAACAGCTAAAACCAACGCGACAACTAGCTGGGCATTTCCTGGTTCCGGCTGACGTTGGCAGGGAGGAATGATGCTTTAAAGGGCCAGGGGAAGTTTAACAATTTGTTTTATAAAGATGTTGTTTTTTATTTTAAAAATACAACAATAATCTGTATTATTCACGCTGACAAATGTGGGGTTGTAGTCTCTAATTGTGAACACAAGATAACGCTAACATGATCATTTATTTTATTTTCGTTCAGTAGTCATTGCTTCAGATTGAGCCCTCTAGGTTTATTTTGAATTACCGGATTAACCGAAAGTGGCTGTATGGCATGGTGTCTAGCATGACACACGTTGATGTAGTTCACCGCCGTGACCACCAGATAGCAGCATCAACCCGGATTAGAGCTCAAGACCAGAAAACATATTTTAACAATTTTTTACAATTTGTACCATTTCAGAAGTTTTTATTATTCACACTAAAAATAATATTTGCATCTTCATAATAATAATGTTATGCTAACAAAAAAACACTGTGCTAGCCACGGATTCACTTTATGCGAAGCTGCAGTTCTTCTAATAATATTAATAACAACAATTATAATATCTATAAATAATAGATATTATACAAATAAATATAATAAAAAAATACCTTTTTTTCTTATCCTACCACTTCAAACTATATGGAGACTTCCTGGATACAGTAAATACATTATTAATAATAGGAATTGTAATGCATGAAAACACATGAAAAACGAAACCAAACAAAAACAGTAGTGCATTCCCACAAAATTCCAACAAACGTTGGTTTTAATTATTGAATGCAATTGATTTTTCAATTAAGCAATTGATTTTTCAATTAAGCAGCAACAAAACAATTCTCTAGGAGAATATATATATATATATATTATATATATATATATATATTATATATATATATATATATATATAATATATATATATATATATATATATATTCGGAGAATATATATAATTAGAATATCATCAAAAAGTTGATTTATTTCACTAATTCCATTCAAAAAGTGAAACTTGTCTGTTATATTCATTCATTACACACAGACTGATATATTTCAAATGTGTATTTCTTTTAATTTTGATGATTATAACTGACAACTAAGGAAAATCACAAATTCAGTATCTCAGAAAATTAGAATATTGTGAAAATGTTCAATATTGAAGACACCTGGTGCCACACTCTAATCAGCCAATTAACTCTAAACACCTGCAAAGGCCTTTAAATGGTCTCTCAGTCTAGTTCTGTAGGCTACACAATCATGGGGAAGACTGCTGTCTGGACAGTTGTCCAAAAGACGACCATTGACACCTTGCACAAGGAGGGCAAGACACAAAAGGTCATTGCAAAAGAGGCTGGCTGTTCACAGAGCTCTGTGTCCAAGCACATTAATAGAGAGGCGAAGGGAAGGAAAAGATGTGGTAGAAAAAAGTGTACAAGCAATAGGGATAACCGCACCCTGGAGAGGATTGTGAAACAAAACCCATTCAAAAATGCAGGGGAGATTCAGAAAGAGTGGACTGCAGCTGGAGTCAGTGCTTCAAGAACCACTACGCACAGACGTATGCAAGACATGGGTTTCAGCTGTCGCATTCCTTGTGTCAAGCCACTCTTGAACAACAGACAGCGTCAGAAGCGTCTCGCCTGGGCTAAAGACAAAAAGGACTGGACTGCTGCTGAGTGGTCCAAAGTTATGTTCTCTGATGAAAGTAAATTTTGCATTTCCTTTGGAAATCAGGGTCCCAGAGTCTGGAGGAAGAGCGGAGAGACACACAATCCACGTTGCTTGAGGTCCAGTGTAAAGTTTCCACAGTCAGTGATGGTTTGGGGTGCCGTGTCATCTGCTGGTGTTGGTCCACTGTGTTTTCTGAGGTCCAAGGTCAACGCAGCCGTATACCAGGAAGTTTTAGAGCACTTCATGCTTCCTGCTGCTGACCAACTTTATGGAGATGCAGATTTCATTTTCCAACAGGACTTGGCACCTGCACATAGTGCCAAAGCAACCAGTACCTGGTTTAAGGACCATGGTATCCCTGTTCTTAATTGGCCAGCAAACTCGCCTGACCTTAACCCCACAGAAAATCTATGGGGTATTGTGAAGAGGATGATGCGAAATGCCAGACCCAACAATGCAGAAGAGCTGAAGGCCACTATCAGAGCAACCTGGGCTCTCATAACACCTGAGCAGTGTCACAGACTGATCGACTCCATGCCACGCCGCATTGCTGCAGTAATTCAGGCAAAAGGAGCCCCAACTAAGTATTGAGTGCTGTACGTGCTCATACTTTTCATGTTCATACTTTTCAGTTGGCCAAGATTTCTAAAAATCCTTTCTTTGTATTGGTCTTAAGTAATATTCTAATTTTCTGAGATACTGAATTTGTGATTTTCCTTAGTTGTCAGTTATAATCATCAAAATTAAAAGAAATACACATTTGAAATATATCAATCTGTGTGTAATGAATGAATATAATAGACAAGTTTCACTTTTTGAATGGAATTAGTGAAATAAATCAACTTTTTGATGATATTCTAATTATATGAACAGCACGTGTGTGTGTGTGTGTGTGTGTGTATGTATGTATATATGTGTATGTATGTATATATATATATGTATATATATATATGTATATATATATATATGTATATATGTATCCATGTCAATAAACAAATACACACAACGGCAACCACGTAAACAGGTTAATGAAAGTCGGTCAAGTAATCAGAATTGAGGAATTTCCATCCAAAATAGCTGTAGAAGGCGATGTCCGAGTTTTCCCGCTGACCCCTGAATGCATCATAAACTGTCTGTTGAATGTTTGCGCCTCAAGAATGGAGCGGACGTTAGGACCTGGAGGCCGACTGTCCATACCCGTGTGTGTGTGTGTGTGTGTGTGTGTGTGTGTGTGTGTGTGTGTGTG